GGGGGGGGGGGGGGGGGGGGGGGGGGGCGGGGGGGGGGGGGGGGGGGGGGGGGGGGGGGTATACGCTCCTTTGAGGAGCCCTGAATGCAACAGTCTCTCTCATGCTGTGTGGCCAACACCTTTCTTCTCCTAGCCTCTCCTTCTTCCCAGGGCTGGTTTTCCTTCTTGGTGTTTGTCTCGGATTTCCTCCGGAAAGGGCAGCACGGTGGTCACGGTGAAAAAAATCCAGCCTTCCTGACCGACAGCCTGGGAAAGTGGTGCAAAGGGCTTTTCTCCATCCACTCTCAGCACAACCCCACCCCCTCGTCCCATCAGGCTGCACGGAGATCATCGGATTTGCCCGCAACGCTGCCTTCATGAGCTTAAACATTATTTAGGATAGTCTTTTCCCATAAGCGAACTTTCAGCGATTGGTGTGGCGGCACGCGATGACACACAAACACATTATATTCTCTGGTCTTTGTCTCTGCTCCACCCTAACCTCATTCTTCTCCAGGCATTAACATACACACACGCATGGGAGGAAAGTGGGGAGGAAGGACATTAAGGAATGTAGACTATGCAGTTAGTCAATGGGAAGTTCAAAAAGTGAGATTGTTGTTGAAGGAGACAGGTACGTACTTACAGTCATGTATTGCTTCCACTCGTGGAGTGAACGACAACTCTTTAATCGAGTGGATTATTAAATTTTTTGAATGTGCAAAATTGGCCGTGATGATGTTGACTTCGCTAAGCCTCTGCTAAGGTCATTGCTATTGTGTTCAGCAGTCGCTTCACCCATCAGGATTCGATCGGATAGGAAAAAGCAGTCTTGATATGATGACTGGTTAAAAAATAAGTGGGCTTGGTGATGTGAGCCGAAAAAAGGAAATGGAGCAATTTACATATTTTTTACGAAAGCTTTTATTATGAAAACTTTTTTTTGTAATATTGTGCACCAATAATTGTTCACAATACAACAAGGATCATGTATTGAGAAAGTAAATGGGGTCAATTTTGATGTAGGGATGCACAAATATTCAATTTATGGCTGATACTGATAGATTAATAATTGTTTTCCTGTTATGGCCATCAACTGATAAATAGACAATATTAAATTTCGATATTATTTCGTTTAAATTACAGAACTCTAAAAAAATTTAATAACAACAATAAAAACAATATTATTAATTATTTTAGATGCAACAAGTGGATTAAAAAATCACAACCACATTATAAATGTACAGTAAATTTCCACAATTAAATTTAATATTAAAATTAATTTTTAATGTTTTTGAGGCCTACATTTATTTGATCAAAAATACAGTAATGATTTGAAATACTGTTACAATTTAAAAAAAAAGTTTTCTATTTTAATATACTTAAAATGTAATTTATTCCTGCGATGCAAAGCTGAATTTTCAGCATCATTACTCCAGTCTTCAGTGTCACATCATCCTTCAGAAATCAGTATAATATGCTGATTTGCTGCTCAAGAAACATTTCTGATTGTTATCAATGATAAAAACAGTTGTGCTGCTTCATATTTGTTGTTAAAACTGTGATAAATGTTTTTCTTTGATTAATATGAAGTTCAAAAGAACAGCATTTATTTAAAATGGAAATATTTTTTAACATTATAAATGTCTTTACTGTCTGTTATGAAAGTTTTTGTGACCTTGCAGAATAAAAGTATGAATTTCTTAATAATAAATTAATATATATTTTAAATAAATAAAATAACAGCCACTAACCAATAAACTACAGATATATTTGCATCCCATTTGTTTTCATATTTGTACTAATAAATATTCCTATGAATGAGTCAGTAATAATCATGCTAGCATTAGCACACAATGTTTAATAAAGAGTATCCAAGAGTCGAATGATGTTTGAAACGTACCTTTTGATTGTCCTTCCAGGTTCATGGTTGTACACCTGGTGGCGCTGTCTGAACTCCACGCTTCCACACCCTGCACCAAAGAACCCAATCATTGCTATGATTGTACAATGCATGGAAAAACTGATTCCCAACACAGATCTACTTAACAGGCTACAACACGCTTAAGAGACTCGAACACGTCTAACATTGCATAATTCTTCTGCCCGGTGGATTTTAATAACATTCATCACTGGTTCATAACCAAAAAACTCTCAGAATGTCTCTCAGGCTGGGAAGTTACAGCAGGACTTGCTAGATGACCTCAAACAAATTAGTGTAAAATGAAATTGTTTTTTTTTTCATGTAGCAATCTCCAAAAATGTGCAGTTTGGCAGCTGCTCTTAATGTTGATGTTGAGTTCTCACACATTCTCAGGCAGTTTTTCCCCAAGTCAGCAACAGTCTACTCACAAAAAAAGTGTCATATATCGTTCCCCATTGTATGCGCAATGCTTCAGGGCTAAGATTTACCTTCTTATTATGAGAGGAAACATGTAACAAGGGTTTTTCCCTAGTTTGTCGACTGAACAGTCAAAGTGATTCGTGTTGAGCAACATGTGAACAAGTGCCTCAGGTGTCAGTAGCCACATGTACACGTCTGAGTCTCTCACACACAAACACGTCTCCCTCCCTGTGGGAACAGCAGTCTGCCAGCTGGCTAGGCGACATGCTTTTGAGGCTGAGGATGTTTTGTTTTTTTGGTCTGGAGTCTGGACTGTTTCTCTCAGCAGTCTCAGGGGAAGCTCCTGGCACTGAGCTCCAAAGCTCTCGCTCCTGACGCTCACTCACATCTCCTCTGGTCTTCACTGACATCTAGCGGACACAGAGACCCCTCACACAACATCAGATCCTGCTCTGTACTCGGATCTGAACAGTAGTGAAGTATTTGTATTTTACTCAAGTAAATTTAAAAAGTATCTGTACTTTATCAGAGTGCTTTTCTTTGTAAAACTTCTACTTCACTTCATTCCAAAGCATGATGTTTTAATTTTTACTGCGCTACATTATATGATTAAAAGTTGTCGTTGTTGTTTTTTCCCTTTAATACTTAAGAATAGGGATGCACCGATATGAAAATTTTGGCCGATACCAATAACCGATAATCCTTTATTTTTGAAAGCCGATAACCGATATGTTGGCCGATAAATCTATATCCAAATTTTTATATACTTTTTGAGAGCCTGATTACAAAAAAGGTCTCAAAAAAATTAGCATTTATCGGCCGATACCGATATGGTGGCCGATATATCGTGCATCCCTACTTAAGAACTTTAAAAATGTAGTACTTTCTTGTACTCAAGTAAAACTTGTAATTACTTTTACTTGAGTAAAAGTAAAAAAGTACTAGATTAGATTTCTAATGTAATTAAAGGGGTCATATGATGCTGCTAAAAAGAACATTATTTTGTGTATTTGGTGTAATGAAATGTGTTTATGCGGTTTAAGGTTAAAAAATCCTTTCTGAAACGCGTCGATTTTTTCAAAGCTCATCGTTCTGAAAATCGAGGTGTGCTGTGATTGGCCAGCTATCCAGTGCGTTGTGATTGGCCGAATTCCTCAAGCGTGAGACGGAAATGTTACGCCCCTCATCATACTGTGATGGCCTGCGGTAACCACATGTGGCAACCCTGGGCTGGACTCTGCTTCGTCCACGGTGAAAGCCGATCCGGCGATCCACAGCGCGAAGTTGATGTATTTCCTCAGCGACCAGCACAGATCTGCTCCAGGCATGACGAAGCGGATATCGTCCTCTTTTGGAAGATCAAACAAAGTAGTTTCGCTTTCACAACGAACCACACAGTGCCTTCACGACATGGCGGCAGCAACAATACTACAGCGATAATAAAAGTTACGCCTTCTTTCTTTGCGTAAACATTTGGGCGGCATTATGCTAATCTTCCCACATAGTGACGTAGACATGTGGAGGCATGTTAGAACGAGTCATTTTAGGTAGGCGTGGTTGACTCTTAACTTTTATAAAGAATATCTCTTTGGATTTGAGACTTTAGTCTTTGCAGCTTTACAGATCTTCTTTAAGCACCAAGAGCTTTAAGCTCCAAAGAGAAAGGAAAAATTGAAATGGCATCATATGACCCCTTTAAGTATGAAATTATATTTAATATGAAACCTAGTTTGCAGTGCAGTAAAACGTACAACATTATGCTTTGGAATGTTGTGAAGTGAAGTTTTCAAAAGAAAAACACTCTGATAAAATATAAACACTTGAAAATTTTACTTTTAAAGCAGAGTAAAAATACTTCACTACTGACTGCCTCTGTCTGCACTAGGGGATGCACCGAATGTTCGGCAACCGAATAAGCGAAAAGACCAATATGACCCCTTTAAGTATGAAATTATATTTAATATGAAACCTAGTTTGCAGTGCAGTAAAACGTACGACATTATGCTTTGGAATGTTGTGAAGTGAAGTTTTCAAAAGAAAAACACTCTGATAAAATATAAACACTTGAAAATTTTACTTTTAAAGCAGAGTAAAAATACTTCACTACTGACTGCCTCTGTCTGCACTAGGGGATGCACCGAATGTTCGGCAACCGAATAAGCGAAAAGACCAAATAAATTGTACCGAACAAGATATGACACGATCATATAGCAACCAGCGCAGAGTGAGAGGCACGCACTCTTTATTATGCAGCACACAGTGTGGAAGCATTTAAACTGTCGGAGAAAGAAAAATCATTACAAGCACCAACAGCGAGAGACTGTTTAGGACTGCATCGCATGTCTTCAATGAGAAGAGGAAGGGGTGGTTGTTGCTGGTTACTGTATGATGATTGAAATCGCGAAATGGCCTTAAACAATTAGTAAATAAAATGCAGAACGTTATGTTTTCTAATACACGCAGCAGCAGATCTGCTTGTTAACCAGGGTTCAAAGTTACAGTCGTCCGTTGCTCAGTCACATTTTTATGAATTTTTACAAGGCATGTGATAATGCGATACGTACGACGTATTCGTAATGAGACTCATTTATAAATCTGTTGTCAAGAAAAATAAGCATTGAGGTCTTACTGCGCATTTCCACCAAAATATAAGTTGAGAAAAAGCAAGAACTCTTATCAACATTCATAAATGTTAGTATTGTAATTTTACTGTTGTTCTGTAAAAT